ATTCAAAGCCAGCCTGGGCAAAAAAGTCCCCTCACAAACCAGAAGTAGAGCTGTGGCTCAAAGTGGTAGAGCACTAGCCACAGCACCCAGGCCCTGAGTTAAAGTCCCATAACCAGAAAAACAAAATTGCCTCCCATGAAATCTATTCATCTTCTCAAATTAGGAGAGTTTTGTTTCATAGCCTTTAACACCTTTTTCAAGGAGATTTTTTTTCTTTTTGCTCTAATTAATTAACCAATCAACTCTTCTACAAACAACATCTTCTTCCTTCCCCTGTGCTATAAATCCAGTAGGAAAAAAATAGCAAGCCCTTTTCTTTGAAAAAAAAATGTTATTATTTTTAGAAACACAATATGAACCCATTTGATAGATCAATTTAGTAGCAAAACATTTTCTGACACAGTTAAAGATTGTAGCAGTTAGAATTTATTTCTCCTAGCTGAAATATATAGAGAATTACCATTTAACTCATAAGCTTTAGCCTTTGCTTTAAAATTCCCCTAGATTAAGGCTGGAGAAATAGTGCAGAAGTAGACAAAATGCAGGCAACCGGCTACCGGCTCCTATTCTGGTTAAGGAGCAGAGAATTTATCTGAAGCAATTTGAAAACTCTTGAGATCACTCTGACTCAAAAAATACATCCTTCAGTGTGACCTGTCCTGTTTCCACTGTTAGAAATGTTTACTTTCAGGATAAATATTACCTTTAGAAGTCATCGTTTGAAATGTCAATATCTTTGGAGGGGCCAAGAGTAAATTTTTGACAATTTTCAGTAGAGCACTCTGCAGATTACTTTCTCTGAGTAGAATAAAAGGGAGGAAAGCATAAGGGTAGGGTAGAATGCATTGTAAGAAAGTATAAATACAGAGGTGAAAGAAATAAAGGATGAACATTGATTTCTATCAGTTTTACTGTGAAATAACCCAGTGTGAGGAGGTTAATAAGTAAATGAGCTTATCATTGTAGAATGTTACTGAGACCAATAATATCAATGATATTTTGACTTCTGAATAAGCAAACTAACTCTGCTAACATCAAGAAGGTTTTCTTTAGGATAATAATTTATTATTAACTGATAATAAGAAAGGTGTAGTTACTCCTATCAAAAAAAAAACGCAGAAATTACAAGGCTTTGACCTAAAGTTATTGAATAATTCCCAAAACAAAAACAAACCTGATTTCAGAATGTGAAAATACTAAACCCAAATTCTATAGCTATAGGAGGTGTGTACAAAGTAACAACCATTCTAGGTTAGGATTCTGGGTAGAAAGTCAGCAGGTTATTTGTGAGTATATTTGTGTGGTATAGGGAGATTTTATGGCCAAGGACATTAGGGAAACACTTAATTCAAGTAAACAGTTGTTTTATTTATATGTTTTTCCCCTAAATCATGGAACATGGTAGCATAAGTATTACAACTTCTAAGAGAACAAGTCACTTAGCAATTTTTTTCAGTTCTCTTTGATCATGGTACTAGTATTGTGTAGAAAGAACTTTGGAACATTATCTAATGTTATTTTAAACCCTGCAATGCTATCTAAAGATAATATAAGAATGCATTTTCTAAAGGAAATACCTTAAATTACATATACCTGCATATATATTGTACACACACACACATCTGTAGCATTGATTCAGTACAGGCTCAAACAAACCTACTACCACTGCTATTTTGATTCTGCATTTACAGAGCAGAATCCAGGAAGCCCTCAGGTTTCCCGGTTCTGAGGTCTTGCAGGTGCATGCTCTCTGGGGAGACCATCTCTGGGGGGTGCTTTCAGTGTTTTCAGCAGTCCCCAAACAGATAAACCAGCCCATGTCTTATAATAATCCACATAATCCACATCCTGATCTCGGCTTCTTTCACTTTTGTTTCCTGCAGGCTATTTAATTTCTCAAATCGTTTGTTGGTAAATTTTTTAAGTTCATGGACAAAATGAACAAAAGATGAGCTTCCAGAGTTAGCCTTACGTTTAATTAGTCTGCAGCAGTGTTCCATTCATACTGGGTCTGGCTGTGTCCTAGCTATTTTAGCTGCAATTAGCCACAGGGTGTAGATTGAAAATTTAGAGCAATTTTATGAATGATTTTCCACCTTATAAACTATCCTTGGCATCTGTTCTTTGAATTTTCTATACTAAGTAAAGAGGTCCTTATGTTATTTATGTGCACAATCCTTTGTGGATGAACCTGTTAATTTGGAATGTATTTTCGAGAGATCCACTCTAAGGTATCTTTGTATAAAAGCTGGCACAGTTATTGGATTTAAAAATTTAGAGATATAAACAGAATCCAGGCACCTCTATGTGTGGTGTTTTTCAAAAACAAGACCTAGGGTGAGCTTTAATCTTTTCTCTCTTGTTTGGCAGTTCTTTGCCTAGAGGAAGAATAATATAAAACAAGGTGACAGTGACTTCTTACCCTATGGCAGGTATCTATTTATATGTATTTTGCTATAGCTTGGAAAAAGTCTAGGGAAAGTGAGCCCATGATTCTGTCTTCTCAGCATTCTCAGAAGCATGATTTTCACTCCACATGGTGTTCAACATCCAACATCGTGTTACCTTTAGCTGAATTATACTTTCATACCTCATTAAGGTTGTTAGATATGTTCAAATAGCCACAATTGGAAAAGCAAACTGTGATTCTTGTTTCTTCTTTGCTGTGGAGAACTGCCTTTGACTTCAAAGAGTTCTCCCAGCTCAAAATGGAACAGTGAAATGATTCATGAGAGTAGATGGAAGGAAATGATTAGTTCATATGCCTCTGGTCTGCAGCAGTGACATAAATCCTCAGAGAGGTTCTCGACTGTCAGGTCGTATGCTGCCTGTGTCAGATCACATACAGGCCAGCATATATTATCAATTGAGAAATCTAAGGAATGAACAAAACTTCCTTTCTATGGTTGTTCATTTTTTAAAGATGTCAAGTAGGCTTGAGGACAGAGGAAGAAAACATGATGCTACTCCAGGTTAACCAGAAAAGAAAAATTTGCATATTTATAAATACAAAGACCATTCAGGTAGGGGAAACACTTTTTTAAAACAAAACAAAGAGAACAATGTTAATTGATTGTAGGCTAAGAACAAACCATTCTGTGACTTCTCAAGTCTGTAAACTAGTTTATTCCCAGAGTGAAAATGTTATGGTCTGTTGGTTCTTAGAGTAATACGGAAGGCAATGAGTACCCAGCAAGTCTAGATAAGAAAGTGTACCAGTGTGCCATTTACATCAGTGGTTTTATAACACCACTTGTCTCTCTGGGATAATAAAACGTGTGATGTTCTGTTTGCTGTATATGATATAACTTAAAGAATCTTTCCATAGGGAGTTAATATCCATCCATTGAAAAAATATTTCCTCCTTTTTTTTAACATACCTAGAATGTCAAACATACCAATGAATTTAGCTGGCCAGGCAAAAACAGGCTTAAAAAATGAACAATCAGGAGTAGACATTAAGTGGAACATACTGAAAATGAGACAAGTTAGAAACATGGGAATCTGACAAGCAATGAAGAAATAACAACAGCATTGTCAGGTGCAAAGGTCTGGGACAGAGACTCCTACTCTTCCTCAACTGCTGTCTTGTGCCTGAGTACCGCTGAGTGCCCGGGAGCCTCAGGTTACCTGTCAGTTGTCGGATAGTGTAGGATTGGGTGCTGGTGCTCCCAGGAGCACAGCCCTCAACAGGAAACAGAGTCAGGCTCCTCCTTCCTGAAAAGCCATCACCAGTGCTTATCTCTTGCCAACTGAATCAGGCACAATTCGAAAAAGATGAGAATTTCTACAGTCCGCTCTGTCCTCAACACCTCTCATTGTAAAGGACAGTTAGGTAGTGTGACCACCAATATTTATCATTTAGGGGTGATCATTTGCATTATATTTACAAGTTCTGTCTTCAGGTATACTTTCTTCTATGATGGAAAATGGTAGAATGGAGAACGAGAGGGAGAAACAGAACTCAAGTTCTGGTGGTGCACAGTCAAGGGAGGTCAGTTTAGGGAACTACACACAAAGCAATACAGGCAGCTTGTGCTATGAGCAAAATAAAGGTTTTTTTCTAAAGGAAAGGGCAGAATAGCTTATAATGTTTGATGAAACTTGCTTAGGGAAAAAAATAGTTACTTAGCATGCTTATTAGATGATTTCTTTTTTATATGCTCTGTGTGTGTGTGTGTGTGTGCACGCGCGCGTGCCCTGCAGCTTGAACCCAGGGCCTTGGCACTATCCCTGAGCATAATTTCACTCAAGGTAAGCACTCTACCACTTGAGTCACAGCTCACGGGTTTTTTGGTTTTGTTTTGTTTTTGACATTTCCATGACTAATGGAGATAAAAGTCTCATGGACTATTCTTCCCAGTCTGGCTTCAAACTCAGTTCTTAAATCTCAGCCTCCTGTGTAGCTAAGATTACAGGCATGAACTACTGCCACCCAGCTCATATGTTTTCATATCAGAATGGAAATACATTGTGATTTTATTTCTCCCTAGGCCTCTCTTAATGTGGTGGAAATGCATAGAAGAGGTGGATTTTCAAGGTATTAGCAGGATTATCACTGAATTCTGAAGTTCTGTGCCCCAGTTTTCAAGCAGAGATTTTCCTTAGGAAGCAATATCAATACACTTGAACCGTGATGGTTTGTGGCTCTAGAATTCTTTTCACGTGTTTAGCATAAGGAATGGCTGCAGCCTGTAATCGGCATGTGTGGAGTCATCCACCTGTGTGCTCCTGGATACATCTCAGCTCTTCAAGCTTCTACTATCACATACGTAAAACTAATAATTGACAGTAAGCTACCATGGACCACTATTGTTATGATTAAGCCAGGTGGAATTTTCTAGGATTCTTCAGCATGCACGAAGTCAATTTTCTTTAGGATTAAGTGTGGTAAGGCACACACAGATCCCAGGATGGCACGTGGATACTGCATGTGTCCAGTGAACATTCTACCCTGCTCTTCCTCTTTCCTCCCTAATGAGCACTCCCCTCTCCTGCAGGGAAAGCACAGATTGCACGTGGACACTGGGATGGAAGGCAGCTGGTGTGGCCTTATTCCTGTTGGACAGCCTTGCAAGCAGGTTACGACAACGGGTCTGAAGTGGAACCTCAGTAAGTAAATGCGCTCCGTGAAGGAAGTTGTTCTCTTCCATACAAACCTAGTAGTAAAGTGGCTGGCAGTCCAGGGCAAAGCCTGAAAGGAAACTGCCGGAGATGCTAGCACCAGTTTACATTTCCACGAGCAACCTTCCCGTGTGTCCTAATCTCTCTACTTTCACCACAATTGGTTATTTTTCTATGTTCTTTATTTTTGGTTTGGTTTTGTTACTTATAGTAGCCTACTTTATGTAAACAACATCTCTTTGAAGTTTTGATTTATGTTTTCTGATAACAAATGATCTCTAATTTACTTTGTATATCTTCCTTGAAAAACTTCCTCTTCAAGACTCTTCTCCTGTGTTGAGTGGGTTATTCTCTGTTTACACGAAGTTGTAAGAGCCATGGCTCTAAGTCTTTGTAAACATGTTCCTATGCTTCTGGGCTCAGATTTTCATTTCTCAAAACTTACTTTGCTAAACGGATTACTTTTGGTGCAGCCTAATTTTTCATGTTTCATTTTATATGTCATATCTAAGAACTTTGCCCAACTTCCTTCATAATTTCGTATACATAAAATATACTCAGCGTTGAAGTGGTAGCTGTGATAACTAAAGTTCCAAGTTCTTTTCATAGGAAAACCTTTGAAGTATCACAGATTAGCTGCCTCTATTAAATATTAAAATGTTTCCCAACTATTTTGAACCATATTAGAGTTCAGTTATACAAGAACTGTCTAATTTGAAAAGAACAGAGAGTGAGAGGGATTTGTTTATGAACTAAATGCTGATTCAAGGGGGAAAAAACTATACCACCACTAGACATTATGAAATGAGTTGATTCTAGTGTCTTTACAAATGACATTAATTTAATAAAAAATAAAGCCCACTGATTGAACGCCAGAACAATCATCCCCTGATTAACCAGTACCTCTAAGGTGACACAAGAAAAATATGGGACTGTGTCATCTTCTGTAACATGTGAAACACTTAGATTTCCACATGGAAATAAGTATTTTGAAGATGAAAGGGTGGTTTTTGAAGTTCTTTCTATGAGCCGCTGCAGAAACAATTAGAGAAAACCTGGAGGTATTTTGAGGCACATGTCTAGAGACTCATCACTTTGAAAGGGCAGTAAGAAGTATCTCCTCCCGTGCACAGTAGTGTGTGACAGCTTTGAGGCTCTTTGGCTGACTCTGACGTGAGCTGGCTCCCATTAGGTTTTTGAAAACCTAAAATAATTGCTCTGCTTTTACAATTCCCTTTATTTCCAAGGACCTAAACTAGACAGTGGTGTCCCTTCTCCTGGACTTAGCAGTGTATTCGGGGTTGATACCAGAATGGGAGGAGCGCTGAGCAGAAGAGGAAGAGCCACAGGGGCAACTGCCCAACTTCATCATCTCTTCATCATAGGGAAGAGTCACAATATAAGTTATGATCCTTTGGGTGCTATAGAATATCCCTCCATCACCTGTTCCCACATCCCAATGCACATCCCAGTCCTGTCTAAACAAGGTTTCTCTGGAAAGGGCGAGTTTGGCATAATGAAGGTAGGATCTTAATCTTCCTGCCTGTGATCATTTTTTCCTCTGCTTAAATGCAATGCGTTGTTATTTGTTTGCATTGTTAATGGATGTTTCGACCTTTCAGATAGTTATTTTCTCTACATATTTATGAGATCTAATTTTGATACGCAAGTATTTTCATAGAGTATGCAAAGCAATAGAGTTAAAACACAGCTAGATATCAATTCTCTATAGGTAACAAAAAGTATGTTCAAGAGTCTTCTAACCAACTGACAATAGGCACTTACTGAAACGTAATAGAAATATATGTGAACGATGCTGTGTGGGCTTGAAGAAAAGTGGTAGATTTTTAGCATAGGTGGGCCTTGCTTTACTCAGTGCTACTACCTTGGAAAAGCAGGGTCCCAGGACCCTGCTTGATCCATTGTAAATTGAAGCATGCAAGCATCAGCCTAGAGAAGGAAAAAGGAATAGCTTGGTCAAGGGGTGCTGGCTTTTTGGATCAATGACAGTAAGCAATTGCTTGTGGGGAAATGTTATAATCATCTTCACATAGCCTAGGGCTTGATTTTTTTTCCCCCAGTCCAACCTGCTTTGAGATCTGATGCCAGAAGTTCTTAACATAGTCTGATTTCATCTGTGATCCATTTAGAGTCTCTCATATCCCAGCTTTTATGAAGCAGACAAACTCTGAGAGGAGATTGGATAAGCTGTAGACATAAACACAATGAAGAATATTGTTCTATTCTAGATTGTGTCTTTCTGAAGGATCCTCAGATACTTTGCAAATAATGTTTCAAGCATTTAACTAATGAATACAGACCGTTTCAAACTAGGATTAAATACAGTTCATTAACTCATCCCCAGTTCTTTTTCTACATTTTAGAATTAGAACCAGAAATGAATGATTATTTTTCTTCTACTCAGCCCTTGCCCTTTTGTGGTGCTGCTAGAACACAAAGAACTAACAGTAATTCACTATATGTCACAGCTATCCTATTCTACTTTCTGAAAACTCCCAACAATCTGACAACATGCATTTTTTATGGTTGATTCTGGGCATTTAAATATGAAAACAATTAACGTGCATTTGTAGAGAATATGACAAATGGGAGTTTGTGTGCAGGTCAATTTTTCACAGACCTGCACTGAGGAACACTATTATAACTCAGGTTCACCTCCCAAGTTGTTTAAAGGAGTTGATTTCCCGGTATTTATGTGGGCAGGTTGACTGATGAGAATGACTGGAGTGGAGCTCAGGAGTCCCCTTCTATTTTCCCTCCTCCAGGTTTCATTTTTGTGCTGATTCAGATGTAGGCTCTGTGCATTCAGCCATTCAGTTAATATATCAAGACAAGAAAGCAATAACTTTGGTGATTATGTGAATTGTAGAGAAAGATTCGAGGGGTGTTGTGAATAAACTTTTACTATGGGAACAGCACACTGGGTATAATTTTCTTCTGGGCCCAAATGATCATTTTTTGTATTCCAGAATAGCTTTTTCATGCATCCTGCATGTCTTTTCTCTGTACTTATTCTTATTCCTATAGCATTATGCTTCATATTGATGTGCAATGTCATTATCTTCATCATATAGATGAGAAAACTGAAGCATAAGATGCTAAATGAATTGTTCAAGTTTATATTTTCTAGCTGGGTCCTTTGTGTGCACAAAAAAAAAGATTCATCATATTTGTTGGTGTAACCTATTTTCAAAAGCTTTGGACATGGTAAATAGCCTGTCTCAGCGTTCTTTTTCTAGATGATTTTTCCCCAAAATTGGGCAGGCTGTAAGTGAAGGCAATAAACACCTTAGCAATTAAAATCATGTCATAAGCTTTCCACTGTGTGAACTGCAGATGCTAGTATCCATGAAGATTGCAGAATGTGTAATTTAAATGTAACTTCAGTTCACTGTGATAACTTATTTCTGGGTGATTATAAACCAAATGTTGTCATTCATTATGGTTTTCAAGGAACTTGTGGCACAAATTCAAGTGGAAAAAAGATGCATTTGGCTTTCATGAAGAGGAATAAATGTTTTTAACAGGGTATTTGAATGCCTAGAGATTCGGGGGTAGAAAAAGGAAAGAAAGAATAATAGTAGCAGGACTGCAGTGGTTTTATTACAGGAGGGCTGAACTATTTGGCAGGGTTTTCAACAGTGAAGAACCACTTTGTTCTCTAAGTTGTCTGCAGGCCAAAATGTGAAAAATCAAAATCTTTTAAGAACAGTAGGTCTAAATTACAGCTAGGGAAATGCCCAGTATGCAGGAATAAATAAAGAGCTATCTCTATATCTATATATTTTCATACATATAAATATATGAACATATTCAAAGCTAATCATGAAGTAAATATCTGCATATTAATGAAGTATATTTTGCTATACTTCAAGGGAAAATCAAGGTAAAGAGTACCTGGAGAACAGATAACTTCTTAAGCTAATCACATATACAAGAAAACAACACAGTATTTTTTTTTCCTCTTCCAGAGAAGTTGCAGAATCAAATTATCAAGAGACTATAAAGACCTCTGGCTTTCAGGAGATGTGGCTGAAGTTGTAGGGCATATTTGCTGGGCAAATATGAGGCTCTGAGTTCAAACTCTAGTACTTCCCCCTCAAAAATAAAAGAGGAAAAAAATCTCTGGCTCTGAGATGACTATCAAGTATCCAAACAGGAGAAAAATAAATGCTTTAAGCCCTTTTGCAAAATAAATATGTAGAGACTAATACAACTTGTCTTCTTTGTAATTTCTACCCTGAGATTCCCTTTAAATGTAGTAGAAAAATGGAAATATTTGTGAGTTAATAATGTAAAGGAAAGATGACTATAGAATTTAAGTTCTTACTCTAGAACCAATGAGTTTTCTGGCACTTGGAAGTTACTTGGATGTTTATCGGCACAAAGATTGATGGATGGTGACTATGATTTCCTTCTGTTGAAAACTGTGGCTATCAAAGTCAGAAGCAGTTGAGTCTATATCATACATGGCAGGTGTTTAATTTTCTAAGGAGACCTTTTTCTCCTCCTTAGTGTCCTCACAGCAAGGGAAGTACAGGATGAGGATCAGGGGCATTTGTGTGGTAGCTGTCTGGAGTGGATGCTGGCCTAATATACCTTGTGAGATGTAGTATCTGTATGACTTCATAGTATCCCTGCCATCCCAGCTGAAGGCTGTCTTCACCTGAGCATCACAGTAAATCCACGACTGAGTCATCTGCCCTGAGATGGGCTTGAAGCTCTAGTTATAGGAGATCACTTTTTGAGGACTTATTGTGGGGTTGAGATTCCCCAGCCACCTGGAAAAGCAACATTACTCCTTGGCTATCTTCTCAACTTAAGGCAAGATTATACTATTTTAAGGTTCCGCCTAAGAGTCTACTTAAGTGCCAAAAAGTAAGTTGCATTGGCCTCTTTCATTCAACTGTTCTCTGAACCACATTTACTAACACGCTAATTTCCAGCCATATTCTTAATCTTAATTT